GTCAGGCGCGCCCGCTCGGGGGCGGGGCGAGGGCGGGGCCGGGGGTGTGCGCCCCGCCCCCCGGCCGTAGGCGAGGGGGGAAGGCGTCGGCTTGGCGAGGGGGAGCCCGGGGTTCGAGTCCCGCCCCCGCCCTGTCGGCAGACGAGGGTCAGACCTGCTGCGGCAGCCCCCCTTACACCCGACGCGATAACCTCGGGATTCAAAACAAAATAACCAACCCAAACCACAGCCCAGGGCCATCTAGTTTTTCCAGTTGAAAGGCCTCCAGAGTGGAGGAGAGAAGAGTGAAGGAGGAATTAGTCAGTGGCACGAGCAGAGTTACCGGAATGAGCTCGGGAGTGACTCAGTGAGGAAGAGAGGAACGAGGTCACTGGCTTTGCAGTGTTGTCTGAGCAAACAGGACTACTGCCACCCAAGAGTTCTGACCCCAGGAAAGCCCACATTTCCCTTGGGACGGGGCTCACCACGCAGGAACCTGCTTTGGTCACGCCCAAAGACCCCAAAAATATCCACAGAGCTGAGGAGGAAACTGAACCCCCCCAGTATGCCAGGATGTGCCACCACCCAGGACAACCCACATCAGACCAGACCTCGTTTTTATGGTGGAAACTTGATCCAAGATGAAAGGCACCAGGTTAAGCATTGCCCAAATAAGCAGAGAACCAAAAGAGAAAAACCAAGGATATGGACCCGTGCCACGCTCACACAAAGTGACACCTCTGGAGCAGGGTGGCACTGGTGGTGATGGAAATTCAAGAGGGTGCAGAGGGTGTGGAAGCAGCTGTAATCCTTCTGTTGGCAGGTTGAGGCTCCAGGAGGGACAGAGGACTAAGGGGGGATGCATTTTTCCATATTTATTTGAGGGTTGGAGCAGAAAAACATCTCCTTGGGTGATACCCATCTTCTGTCCCCTCTCCCCTGCTGCATCCCTCCAGGTGGTGATGCTCAATCCTGGCCTGACCCCACGTTCCATCCCTCTACCCACCATGTCCCAGCAAGGTCTGCAGCAGGGCAGCCCCATCACATGGGCTGTCACACACAGGCTGTCCCACAGCAGGACAGAAAACAGCAGTAAAGCACACCCTTCAGGCAGCCCAACAGAGGAATTTGAGGGTTGCATATTTTGAAAAAAATAAAGTCAAGCATAAATTCTTCTAGGTTTGGACTGGGGCTCCTTCCCACAGGCAGAGCAAGCCATCACTGGCAGGGGGGATCAAAGCATTTAAAAGAAATCCTAGTCATGTTTGGGAGCAGGACCTTGGCCAGGCTCAACTCTGATCACATTTCTCAGCAACTCTCTTCAGGTCACAGAGCTGTCAAAACTCTGAGGTTTGATCAAAATCAAAGGTGAGATTTTAATGTATATGGCATGGAGCAAGCCCCAGGGAAATTAGTTTTCCCTTGAAGTCAGCTGCATGTTGCTCTATTTATTATTCATGCCTTGCTTGCTTTTTTATTTTTAATCCAAGCATGGTGACATCTTAATATGCTGAAAAGCACTGAGGTGCTGCCAGTGTTTCCCCTTCACTCCAGCCCTCTGACACATCTTTATTGGCTCAAAAAAAGGAATTAGCCTTTCCTCTCCCAGGAGCAGGGCTAATTCTTATGAGCCACTTGCCTCTCTCCAGCTCACTATAGATGTAGGAAATATATATATATATTTGTATATATTCAGTATTTGTATATTGTTTATATGTAAGTTCATACTATGACACTAATACCTAATACGTAAGGAAGGTATCATGTCATGTCATATCATGTCATGTCATGTCATATCATATCATATCATATCATATCATATCATATCATATCATATCATATCATATATATTTTAATATATAATGTATATAATATATTATATAATATATATTATATAATATAAGACAGTACTAATAATATAACATACTATCATAAATATGTAGCTAGAAATTTTGCACACCTCATTCATTTAACAGAACAAAAAAGCACAGCCCCTACTTTTAAGCAGGTCCACGGCACGTGCAGCCCTCAGGATGAGGTGCTGGGTAGGAAACACGTGTTTTTACTGATCTACAGATCAGTTTGTGCTTTGCAGAACCCTTCTCCACCTCATTTCTGTGCTTGATGATGCCCTTTGACTGCCCAGTGCTGCAAATGGGGGGATACAACAGTCTGGGATTTCATTAAAATCAAACCCCCAGGAGTGACTGGAGGAGCCCCCAGGCTCCCCAGTGACTCCAGGCAGTGTGGCACTTTTGAGGCAGATTTGGCAAAGCACCATCATTTTGGCAACTGCTCATGACAGGCAAAACTTAAATTTTGTAAGTATAAAATTACCCTTCTTACTCCC